GAGATCAGGATCACTGCCCCAGCTGCTTTAACAGATGGTGATAGAATCAATATTTCTGATTACATCCTGCCCTACAAGCCAAGACTTTACCAAGGTTTACTCCATGGACCCCACTGCTCTTCTCCCTCCTCGTGTTTCAGTGCTGGATGTCCCTGAGGAGAGCCTGGGATGTGGACTGGCACCAAGTGTCAGGGCCACTCTTCCCTATGGCTCTGTGCTATCAGCATCAGGATGCTGCTCAGTGTCAGGAGAGTTTGTTCATGTGTCCCTGGGTGTCCCAAGCTCTCACTCCCAATAGTGGGTAAAGATAACTTTTAAGATGTAATTTTTATGTAAGTGGTTGTATGAGTACTTATATTTCAACAGTGAAACAGAAGGTATGAACTTCACTTTGCTGTATTCTCTTAAACTTCCCTTTATTCTCCTGTATTGTTAAATACTTAATAATGGACACATCCTACAGAGTGTATATAAAAATGTTACACATTTAATAAAAGTAAAGCTTACACTTCTTTAGGTTAACTTGTAGATTTAATGTGTCAGTTTAAATGGTATGAACAGAATACAGCAATAACTAACAACATGTAAGTATAAGAAATACTTGTTCAACTTTTGCAGCCTTGGAAATGAAAAGTGGTTGAGGCTGAAGTCACTGGGTTTGTTCAGCTGGAGGAGGCTGAGGTCAGACCTCAGCAGAGGCTCCAGCTCCTCCCGAGGGGCAGCTCCAATCTCTGCTCTCTGTGACCAGGGACAGGACCTGAGGGAATGGCTGCAGCTGTGTCCAAGGAAAAGCTGGATGTTCAAAAATGATTCTTCACCCAGAGGGATCACAGCTCTGCTCCACCTTCAGGGCAGGGGGACACTGGTTATTGGGGTGACATGCACTGTGGGGGGGTGCCCATGCCTGGCAGGGCGGGGCAGGGCTGATGCCCCAGCACAGAGGCTTGTGGCACTCTGGGGCCTTGTCTGGGGCTCCTCCATCCACCAAACCCCCTCTGAGGATGGGACACAACACACAGGTACACACACAACAAACAGGCTGTGACACCAGGGTCCTGCATTCCCAGCCCAAGCAGCACATGTGGTATATGCAGAGGGGACAGGGGCACCCCATCTTGCTCAGATTCTCGTGGACAGCCTGGAGCTCTCCATCCAAGGCAGCAGATCCTGCTGCCAATCTCATGCCCGTGTCCCAAGCACCTGGCCCCATCCTGCTGTGCAGAGTGGCCACCTCCACCCATCATCTGACTGGCAGGCCTTTAATTGCCTTTGGGGTGATCCCTACAGATCCTTTGCCACAGCTCATTTCTTGTCCATCCAAACCACTTCCCACCCTGCATCCCTCTTCACCTGCTAAAACTTTGGTCAGGCTGACAGGGGCCAGGGGGTCCCCGGAGAGCCCCAGGGTGGCAGGGCTCACACGGTGCCAGGGGGTCCCCGGAGAGCCCCAGGGTGGCAGGGCTCACACGGTGCCAGGGGGTCCCTGGAGAGCCCCAGGGTGGCAGGGCTCACACGGTGCCAGGGCTCGTCCCAGTGCTCTTGGGCCCTGGTGCAGGTGCCAGTGTTGCTCTCTGGGCTGGTGACAGGGCTGCTCAAAGGTCCAGTAGCACCACAGCTCCTAAACCAGGCACGTCCATCACATCCCCTGCTGAGCTTGAGGTGCTGCCACCCATCCCTGCTCACTCTCCATCTCCTCACTCTGTGAGGATCATGGGCAGGCTCCAGCAGCCACAGTGGGACGATGAGTGATGGATAGCTCTGCTCAGGGATTCACTGTGCAGCACCCACCCCCTCTTCCTGGACAGCCCCTTCGCACCTGCTCCCACCAACATTCTCCCTTTTCCCTGGAAAATTTCCCTCTCCCCTCCAGGGAAGCCCTGGTGCCCCCTGGGAATCCCACAGCTGGGGGTCCTGTCAGCTGCCCACACCCACCTTGTTCCTCCAGCCACCACAGAAGGAAATCCATGGAAAGATGCTCCGCTCTTGGCCCCATCACAGGTCCTGGAGATGGAGCCAGCAGTGCTGTACAGCTCCCAAGAGCTCCATCTCCAACAGAGCTCCTGCAGGCACCCCTGACCCCTTCCCAAACCAGTCAGACTCTCTCAAGCCCCCCAAGGCCATCCCACTTCCCTCAAGACCCCCATTTGAAAGTCAGCCCTCGTCTAGGCAGTGCCAGTGAGGTCTCCTAAAGCACCCTGGGTGCTACAACTGTTCCAGATCGTCCCCAAGGGCCAGCTGGGTCCCCTGGAGCTCCCCTGAACAACTCCAGCTCCTCTCCCGTCAAACCACTTGCCAAACCTCGAGCCCCTTGGCTGAGCCACGGCCATGAGGACTGGAAGTGTCTTGCAGGATGTGCCCAACAGCTTTCCCAGAGCCTTGCCCAGCCCCACTGCACAACAAGGACACCTTCCCCAGCACACAGACAGGACCTTGGCATCACCAGACCCAGCCCTGGATGTGTGTCCCCAGCTCCACGACATCTCCCCCAAAAAAAGACCAGCAAGACCAGCTCAGCACTTTTGGTTTTTGCTTTTATCTTGGTCAACAGTGGTATCTCCACATGCCGCGTCCTCAGTTTGCGTTGATTTTCTGCCAAAAAGACACAGGGGGTTCATGGTAAGACCCTCAGTGGGGCAGGAACAGCCTCTGTGTGGTGTGGGGGCAGAGGAAGGGGCACCCACCTCGTTGATCCAGTCGATGTAGGCAGACACCCGGGTGAAGACTGTCGGCTTCTTGGCCAAGTTGCAGCTCAGGCCGGAGCCGAAGCTGACGATGCCGTCCACCTCCCAGACGCCATCATCACGCTGGCAGTTCAGGGGGCCACCAGAATCGCCCTGTGTGGAGACACAGCATGGGCCATCAGTCCTGGGCACCCCACCAACACTGCCCTCATCCCTCCTGGCCATCCCCCAGCATGTCCATCCCCTCTCCTCACAGTGCCCCCGGTTCTGCACCGTTCAGACCCCACCACGCCGCATTCCCACACTCACGTTGCACCCAGAGACGACGCCGTCACCACCGGCGCACACCATGGTCTCACGGACATTGCTGCCCCACCAGTCCCTCTTGGAGCAGGTCTCGTAGTCCACCACAGGCAGCAGAGCCTGCTGCAGGATGTCAGCCAGGGGCCCGTTGGCTGCAATGACAAAGCCAAGCCAAAGCTCGTACCTCACAGCCTGTGCCTGCATCCCCTCCCCAGGGATGTGCTGGGGGCACCCCACTTACTCCTGATGCGTCCCCAGCCGGTGACATAGCAGGGGTAGTCGTTGGCCAGGATCTTGCCAGCGTCCGGCAGGCAGGCGGCACGGATGGTGTCACTCTCCTGCACCTCCTCTGCCAGCTTGACCAGGGCAATGTCGTTGCTGCAAGGAGACACAAACCATGGTCCCTGGACATGAGCACAGAGTCTCTGCCCAAAGGGACAGGGGTCCGTGCCACACCACCCACGACCCACCCCCGATGCATCCCATCCCCTACATGATGAGGAAGGAGTTCCATTTCTCATGGACGATCGTCTTCTCCACACCCACGGCCACAGAACCGGGCTCGTCATCCTCTGTCAGGTCCTGCTTGCCCAGCACCACACGGTAGGTCAAGGAAGAGCTGCCAGGGAGAGAAGGGGTGTCAGTCCTCACAAACATCTCATCCTGCTGGTACAGACCCCCACCCAGCACCCCAACACCCACCTGATGCAGTGGGCAGCTGTCAGCACCCACTGGGGGGCAATGAGGGTCCCACCACAAGTGTGGTACCACGATCCATAGCGGGTGTACTGCAGTGAGATCTGCAGGGACAGAGGCACAGGGTCAGAGCAGGAATGTCCCCATCCCTGTCCCCATCCCTGTCCCCTCCCTGTCCCTGTGCCCCCTTACCTGCCATGGCCAGCTGTGGGCTACGGCGTCAACACCTCCTACCACGCGGGAGCTCAGCTGCGGTGGCACGGCCGGCTGGCCGCATCCGTAGGCTGTGTGACAGCAGCAAAGGGACATCAGAGGCTGCCTGTGCCCGTGCCCAGGGCCGTGCCAGGCCCCACCGTCCTGTCCCCCCTGCCCCGACGCTTCCCCTGTCCCCTGCACTCACCATAGCCCAGCAGCACGATGAGACAGACGGCTCCCAGCATGGTTGTGGTGACCAAAGGTGCTGCAGTGGGGCTGCTCACCCCTTTTATG